TGTGTATGTCCTAAGAAACATTTTCTACAAAATTTGTGGAAAACTTTGCGACAGTATTACGAAGAATAATTAATATTGTTACAATTTTTTTTTACTTATATAGAGAAAATTTTGTGTCGTTATGCACCGACTGCAAACAAAAAAAATAATCTTTTGGACTTAACAAATTAATGGCCAAAAAAAGAAAAACAATTAGTGGTGATGATGATGCTCCACATATTGTCTCCACCAAGCCAAAAAGTAAACACAAAAATCTCCATAAATAGAACTGAGCCTAGGCGTGTGTTCTCCACACTTACTCGATTCTCTATATCTCAACAAAACAAAACATCATAAAGAAACAATGGATCAATTAGGTAGTAACACGAACATGGACATAGAGAAGGAGTCAACAACCTTCGATTACTCCAAACGTTCCCAATGGCTACGCGCCGCCGTGCTTGGAGCCAACGACGGTCTTGTCTCCACCGCATCGTTGATGATGGGAGTTGGCGCCGTGAAGCATGACGTCAAGGCAATGATTCTCTCCGGATTCGCAGGGATGGTGGCAGGAGCTTGTAGTATGGCCATCGGAGAGTTCGTCTCTGTTTACTCTCAGTACGATATAGAGGTGGCTCAAATGGAGAGAGACAGTGTGGAGATAGAGAAAGAGAAGCTTCCTAGTCCGATACAAGCGGCTGCTGCATCCGCTCTTGCGTTTTCGGCAGGTGCGATTGTGCCACTTTTGGCGGCTGCTTTTGTGAAAGAGTATAAAGTTAGGATCATTGCGGTTGTGGTGGCGGTTACGGTGGCTCTTATGGTTTCCGGGTGGTTAGGAGCGGCGCTAGGGAAAGCACCAGCGGTTAGGTCATCGGCTAGGGTTTCGTTTGGAGGGTGGTTAGCTATGGCGGTTACGTTTGGCTTGACTAAGCTTATTGGGTTATATGGATTGTGAATCGTTTGTGATGGTCTGATGGATGACATCTTTTTATAAATTCTTAATGCATGTAACTGTTGCCGATTCTATACTGGATTTCGGTTGGAAATACCTAAAACTTAACAGTATGTTTACGGTACGTGAACAAACTCTTTTACTT